ATACTGTACAGACATGCTGCTAAGCACTTCAGGCTCGACCATCACACCACCTCCATAGCAACCACATAACAATGCCCTGGCAACCACTCTAAAATCCCTAAAATCTTCAGAAAAATCCAAAATACACCATGTCCATTATGAGGCTGTAGGACTAAATGTGCTCACAGCAGAAATCATGCACACATTTTAATGTAAGTCAGCAGTCTGTTGATGACTTCCTGCCATTTCAACTCCCAGCAGGCTGTGCTCTCATAATCACAAAAAAAGGACCTCTGCGTGAAGACCCACGCTTAAAAACCCCTGCTGCAGGTTAAAAATAACCAAAAACCCTCTCCCTGCTGACGCATGTTACCCTCCCACTAGACTCCAGTTCTCTGTTTTCTCTGTTACCTGCTCATAGGCTAAAACCAGCCTCACTTTTTTCATTTTCTGCTCAGACGGATCAGCTGTGATTGTTTGGATCTTCTGAATAGTGAATGTAATGTGTTTTGAGAGGGGCTTTGATTAATCTGCTGTTTAATCTGATGCTGTTTCATGACCCTTGACCTATTGCAAGATTTATCACAGTCCTTGTTTGTTCATCCATCAGCTCTTTTTGTTTTTTTGCATAATATAAAGAGTCAGGAATCAATTTCGTATTGAATTCTTCGAGAGAGCACGGAAAATAATAAATCTAAAATTGATTTATGGGGATTGATGTAATAAATGAGGTCACAGTGATGTGATACTGGTAGGGCAGATGGTGAATCTCATGGCGAGGCACTTTGTGTATCATTTTTAGTAGCAGGGAACGCTGTTATATGCCAGTGATAAAGCTGCACTGCGGTTTGTACAGTAGATCATTCTAAATTTAGTGGGCAAATGGAAGGTTTTTGTGGAGCTGCGAGAAGGGGAGTCTTTTTCTTTATGAAGGCAGCTGACATGAGGAATTGGATGGAAGGAGATGAAAGCAGAGTGTCACAGTTTTGTTGAGCTGAATCTTTAGCAGGTCTTAAATAAATATTGACTGAGGAGAAAAATGAGGTGTGTTAATATTCAGTTTCAGTAGGGCACTTTTTTATATAATATATATCATTCTCTATTTTTAGAGCTGAAATATAATAATAATAATAATAATAATAGGGTTTCCACTAATTACCATTTATTTTGATTAATCTATTGATTAATTATTTTATTGATTAATTATCTAATTTATTGAATAATTATCTAATTTATTGATTATTTGACTAATCCATATAATTCATTTTATACCAAATATCAATAATTTGGCTTAAGATCATTTTATTTAACTTGTACCTTTTGCATAGTGTACCATTAAATAGAGTCAATTAAAGAAGCCTTTTACAAAATGAACAACTAAAACTGCAAAAAATTAATGATTAAAATGTCTTAACAAAAAAATAATAATAATAATGCAAGCAAATCTAATAAAATAAACAAATAAAAGAGAAAGCATGTTCTTAATCTGAATGGCAGTACTATACATCACAAGTCATTTATGCCACTAACCATGCAATAAAATGACTTTAAAATGAGCAGAAGTACATTAATTATTTAATTGAAGTAGGCTAAATCAAGCCTGCACAATAACAAAATAAGGCACAGATTAAACTGTTACAATGATTCTCAATAGGGTCTATGCAGAGCTAGTGTTTCTTCCCATACTGATAAACTTCCAGTGAACGTTTATTGTGACTTTTCCATTTTATATGGTTCCTTTTACAGCATTGATGTTGTAAGGTAATTAAAATATAATCAGTTAAACAGACTTCAGCTTTCATTTAGTTGCACAAGCAAAAAACGAGATGAAAAGCCGTTTACACACAGGATTAACAGGCTAGTGCAAAAGCTCTATTGAAAATACTGAAGTAAAATAAATGTTCATATTCTAAAGACATGGCGGGGGAAAGTGTAATTTAATGCAGTGCTTCTTGTTCAATCTAAGACCCACTTTATATCGGATATCACTCAGCCCATGGAGGTTGCTGATTTTTAAAGAAAACAGATCTTAAACGCTCCCATTTGGCACAGGTCACGGGAAACGCTTGACCTATGACAAATTAAAAGTCCTTCCGCATATACCCTATTACAATCATTGCACTCCAGATCTTTGAATATTTAGCCTATTTCTCTTATTTAACACACCTGATTGAGATAAGCAGCTCTTTAGATGAGAGCAGCTTATTAGGGACCGAGCACCGAACGGTGCAAGGCCCTATTGGAATTGCTCCGTTTATTATTATTATTATTCTTCTCTCCAATGAATCGCGATTTTGAGGGGCTAAACAAGCCCGAAAACTCACGCAACTTTGCACACGCCTCAGAAGTGGCGAAAATTTACGTTTTTTATGGTCTTCTGAAGTGGGCGTGGCAAAATGACTCGACAGCGCCACCTAGAAAAATTTAACGGACAAGCCCCCGATCCACGAATCACGCACATGCACAAAAATTGGCACACACCTCAAACATGCCAAAACATACAAAAAAGTCTCTTGGAGCCATATCTCAAACCCAACAGGAAGTTGGATATTTTTGACTTCCTGCGACGAAAAAGTGGCGTTTTTGCCATTTCCAGGCGTTGTATTTTAATGAACTCCTCCTAGGGATTTTATCCGATCAACACCAAAATTGGGTTTTGTCATCTAAAGGCCTTGGCGATGTTAAATTGCGAAGCTTTAGAGTTTTCATCGATGGGCGTGTCCGTGGCGGCCTCGCAAACTTTGACGATTCGCCACAAAACAGGAAGTCGTTATAACTCAGGCATGCATTATCCGATCCGCCTCAAAATTCACACGTTTGATAAGAGTCCTGACCTGAACAAGTTTACATGCCAATATCCAGATACAGTTATAGCGCCACCTGCTGGCCACAGGAAATGACATGTTTTACATCGTAACAAACTCCTCCCACAAATTTTTTTGTATCAGCACCAAATTTGGGTTGTGTTATCTGAAAGCCCTAGCGATGATATATTGTGAAGATCTAGAGTTTTCGCAGAGGGGCGTGTCCGTGGCGGCATGACAAACCTCAACGCTTCGCCATGGAACAGGAAGTCCTTATAACTCAAGCACACAATGTCCGATCTGCCTGAAACTTAACATGGTGGATTAAAGTCCTCTCCTGAACACATCCTCATAACAATAATGAAGTGGGCGTGGCAAAATGACTCGACAGCGCCACCTATAAAAATTAAACGGAAGAGCCCCTGATCTACGAATCACGCACATGCACGAAAATTGGCACACACCTTAAACAAGCCAAAACATACGAAAAAGTCTCTTGGAGCCATAACTCAAACCCAACAGGAAGTCGGATATTTTTAACTTCCTGCGGCAAATAAGTGGCATTTTTGCCATTTCCAGGCTTTGTATCTTAACAAACTCCTCCTAGGGATTTTATGCTATCGACACCAAAATTGGGTTTTGTCATCTAAAGGCCTTGGCGATGTTAAATTGCGAAGCTTTAGAGGTTTTGTCGATGGGCGTGTCCGTGGCGGCCTCACAAACTTTAACGATTCGCCACAAAACCGGAAGTCATTATAACTCAGGCATGCATTATACGATCTGCCTCAAAATTCACATGTTTAATAAGAGTCCAGACCAGAACAAGTTTACATGCCGATATCCAGATACAGTTATAGCGCCACCTGCTGACCACAGAAAATGTCATGATTTACAAAGTAATAAACTCATCCCACAAATGTTTTCATATCAGCACCAAATTTGGTTGGTTGTGTATCTGAAAGCTCAAGCGATGATATATTGTGAAGATCTAGAGTTTTCGTAGAGGGGCGTGTATGTGGTGGCATGACAAACCTCAACGCTTCGCCATGAAAAAGGAAGTGCTTATAACTCAGGCACACAATGTCTGATCTGCCTGAAACTTCACATGGTTGATTAAATTCCTCTCCTGAAGACATCTAAATGCCAATATTGAGTCAGTCATAGCGCCACCTAGTGACAGAAGGTAGTTTTGCTTATAACTCAGCCACACAATGTCCAATCAGCCTGAAACTTCACAGGGTTGATAAAAGTCCTCTCCTGAAGACATCTACGTGCCAATATTGAGTCACAGTCATAGCGCCACCTGCTGGCAACAGGTAGTTTGGCTTATAACTCAGCCACACAATGTCCGATCTGCCTGAAACTTCACATGGTTGATAAAAGTCTTCTCCTGAAGACATCTACATGACAATACTGTCACAGTCATAGCGCCACCTGCTGACAGGAGGAAGTTTGGCATAAATCTGTGGATTTCTCAGGTTTTTTATATATATCGGATTAAATTGTTATTGTTCACTGTTCTCTGTAATCCTTAGGCCACCGGGCGGCGGTGAGCCCGGGTGCGAGGTCCCTATCATCGCTGCTTGCAGCTTTAATTTTTCTTGTTTTCGTTAATGCAGAATAGCTCAGCAAACAGAAAAACAAGCACAACAGTAATCTGGTTAAGTTTGCGTTGCTTTGGCTTTTTCGGGGATAATTATTGTATTCTCCCGCCTGCAACAGAGAAATACAGAGAATCATCTCTAGACTGATGCCATTTCATGCTGTTTAGCCTTATAATCTCTTAAAATATAAAAATGTGAGAAAAATCAGCTGTTTTGTCATCACTTTAGACATTACGCTAGAGAATGAATGATGGAAGAAAGTAGTTCCTCATACAAAAGGATTTTGAGACTCAACGTGTTTGATTTTCTTTTTTATAAACATGATTATGCAGTCAAACTGTTGTATAAACGCAATATCACAATATACCGGCAATATACAGCCACATCACACTGCTACGAGTGTGATATTGCTCATATATATATTTATATACTGTATTAGTTCTCTCATTTTGGTCAGTGGAATCCAGGGAGCTCCCAAAACACAGCTCAAGTTACTTCCATATATTTGTTTTTAAATGTCAGTGGTTTTGTAGACAGCAAATGTAACTAATTACAATTTAACCAGCACATCATGATATAGAACCAATTTCTCCATCTCTCTTTCTCTCCTCAGATGTAGACGACACTGTGCCGTTCCCGACCGGCTCTCTTCAGAGAAGAAAAAAGGGCCTAGGTGGTCTGCGTCAAGCACAGCCGAAGAGCAGACCACCACTCATCGGCCTTCCTCAAGATTTCCGACAAATCTCCTCTATCATAGATGTGGACATCCTACCCGAGACGCATCTGCGTGTCCGTCTGCACAAGCACGGCACCCACAAACCGCTTGGATTCTACATTCGTGACGGCGTCAGCGTTCGTGTCACTTCTCACGGTGTAGAGAAATTCCCCGGCATCTTTATCTCTCGCCTAGTGAAAGGCGGTTTAGCCGACACCACTGGGTTGCTAGGAGTAAACGACGAGATTCTTGAAGTGAATGGCATTGATGTGTCAGGAAAATCACTGGACCAGGTCACTGATATGATGGTGGCCAACAGCCACAACCTCATTGTTACGGTAAAACCTGCAATTTACCGCAGCTTAGACGACACATACCGTACATTTAAAACATCAGCTGGAAACAGTTCTGCTGGCTCAAGAGGCTCCGCCCTCTCACATGACTCCGCCCACAGCCCCGCCTCTCAGAACACCAGTCAATACAGCAACAGTAACAGTGTGGCAGAAGGTGACAGTGATGATGATACTGACCTGATCATCGAGAACGACAACCTGTCCACGTACGCACCAAACCGGCTGACTAATGGCAACGGCAGCCATGGAAATGCCCAGTCGTCAAGCGCATTTGCACACAGGCCCCTCCCACAAAGTGTTTCCTTGCCCAGTAGCAGCTCTTTGAGCTCCCTGACCACACCCACACACAACGGCAGCCCGACCAAGACAAGCAGTAGCCAAGAAAGCATGAGGGAAGACGGCAATTTTATCACGTTGTAGGCTTCACACTACATTTGGAGCCTTTTATGCACATTTATGAGGAAACGAATGAAGGTTTATGTTACTTTTTCAGCCATTACTATCATGAACAACAACCTATTCAACAATCTTCCCCGTGAATGAGGACCCTCAGCCGGATCACACGGGTTGCACAATCTAACCAGTGTGTGAGGACATGCGGTTGTCACTGTATGGAAGTGCCTCTCCTTTCGCCTTAGTTGTTTTATTGGGACAAAATCGATCATATTCATCTCTATAGACTTAAGAAGTGTGTTCACTACTTTATTGGGATGCCTGACGTTAAACTCAGAGTACGTGATGAAGTACAGATGAATGATTTGCTTCTGTGGAAATGATGCGTGTCTTTTTGTGGGCTCATCCCAGTTTTTATAATGCCTCTTGCATTGATGATAATGATAATGATGGTGAAAGATGATAACGAGAAGGAGGAGGTGGAGAAAATATAAGAGTGTTAAACTGGATCATGCTCACCTCATTCTGATGCTGATCATAGTTTCTGTTATGCAATGTCCACCAAAATGCTGATTCTGAAGTGGTGTTCATTCCCTTATAGAAAACCCACATGAGCTAAAATCATGTTATAATCACACATGGAACACATATTAAACTAAAGTTCACAAAACACAAATTCAAGTGAAAAATGTGTTTAAATATGAAGCTCATGTGGTTTTTCTGTAAGATTTACTTTCATCTCTAAACTAATTAGTGTTTATTATATTATTAACATTTAAAAACTTTAATACTCCCAGGTACTCTTAGGTTTGACGTACGTTATCAATGTTAAGAAAGGCTTTTAATTTATTGCTATTTTCATACATAGAAACGGAAGCCTCTTTGGGTTGCTCCTATGTCTAATGTTATTAGTTCTTCCTCAAATACTTCAACATGTACTTGTTCCAAACCCATGTATCATTTTTTTCTATGGAACACAAAAGAAGATTTTTGAAGAATCTTGGCTATCAAAACCAGTTTGTTTACCACTGAATTCCAATGTAAGGACTTAACAAAAACACTAAGACCTTTCTTAAGATATCATCTTTTATGTTTCACAGATCAGCTTTGCAACAACTTTGATTATTAACATTCGGATGAATTTTTAAAAACTATTTATTGACGGATTATAAAAAAATCTTCCATTTTGAAGGACGTCCACCCATTTTCTGACTTTGTTTTTAGCTTTTCTCCCCTCCAGAAACATTTAAATCCATACACTTAACTGGGAAGAGTGCGGCGTGAATTCAGAAAGACTCGACCTCTCATTGACACAGCCGGTCCGTTCTCCTGTGTGCTCTGTTTTTTTGTAAGCAGAAAAAAACGAAATTCCTTTTATGTTTGGAAAGGCCCGAATTCTGCACATTGGGACCTTTTTCACACAGACCAATCCTGATGGCCAAAGCTGTGAGGCTTTCTTAGCCACGTTGAGAGTGTGTTCTGTCATATTTTTGAAGTGTAATCTTACAGAAACGGCACTGAGGTAGACATTGTCAGACTCTGGGCCAAATATTGGTTTCTTTAATGTTCAACAGGCTCGGGCGGCATTTTTCAGGCAATGAGTTCCCAGATGAATGCTTGAGAAATACCTGCCTCGGGACGTCCAGCACTTCAAAGGCTGTATATCAAACCATAAGGCGTTAATGGAGGGTAAAAAATGCATAAAACATCCTAGTGACACTTTTTACCAGCTAAAATAATGATAATAGGGATATATATTTGGGGATGCTCCTATATTTTTTTCAGCCATTCTGAATGTTTTAAAGGACATTTTTGAGTTTTTTTTTTTTTCGTGCCAGTGAAAATAATCACAAATTCTGTGTTTCTGTCATATCTGATGGCTGTGATTCATGAAGCTAAAGCCTCATCTGCTGAGCATTATCTAGTTTTACTCAATCAGCAAAACAAATGAGGTGTTATTTCGCCGCAAAACCGACATTTATCACGGTAGCCTTGAGTGTGAAAGAGAATTTAGTTTATTTGATCTGGACTAGACGTAACATCTGCGCATCTGACACTCAGTGTGACTCATTGCCTCAGGTTGAGAGCAACTGAAACTAAAGGGTGATTTGAAACTGATAGCAGGAGACATCTGAAGAAGCGTGAACTGTCTTTTTGTTTTGTTATATTATACTTAATTTAATATATTTTATTGGCGTTCTTGGGTTAGAGAGAGTAAAAGCTGATGTGCTGATTTTAAGAGAAAGTGAATGGCATATGAGTTTCATACGGACACAAATCGGAGCACGATTAATACCACATGAGCATTATTTTTTGTGTGTATGTTAGTGTATATGTATAAATAGAAATATGAAATGATGGACACTTTTGTACACTAAGAGCCCTTTTTATAAAAAAGAGCATTTTATATATGTGTAAAATATGGAAAGTATTTTTCTTATTCTTGTACTTTTGTATGTATATTAGAATTCTGGAGAGGAGGTTTCTATTTCTTTTGAGTATCGCAAACAAAGCTAAAATCTTTAGATGCTCGTGTTTTTATTATAATCAGATGGGTCAAGGTGTACAATACTGTGAATGTTACAAGCTGATTATAAAATGTTCTATCAAGATAATAAAAGTATTTAATAAATAATCATTTTTGGTCATTTTTTTTCTCTTCACAAAATAATTGTCAAATCTATATTTTGCATTTTGCTGTATTGGAGTTTGTTGAATGTTTAAACGTAGTTCATATAATTACTCAAAAGGATTTATGATGCATAGAACTAAGGGAACTGTGTTTGGATATAATGTCAGAGAAAATTAGGCTAGCATGTCATAACAATGAAAATAATTGTGTTAGAAGTGTGTGAAACCATGATATAAACATGCCAGCAATAAACCTAAACCTAAATCATGGTAGAAAGATGCTAGCAAGGAGTTAAACATGTTAGCAATGTGCAATATCATGATAGGAACATGTTAATAGCCAATTAAAACACAAGGAATCTAAATAAAAAAAAATAATAATTTCCTTTTTTAAATATTTAATTTTCACAGTATGTCTGATAATAGTTTTTCTTCTGGAAAAAAATCTTATTTGTTTCATTTCGGCTAGAATAAAAGCAGTTTTTATTTTTTTTAAAGCCATTTTAAGGTCAATATTATTAGCTCCTTTAAGCTATATTTTTTTCCAATAGTATACAGAACAAATCATCATTATACAATAACTTGCCTAATTACCCTAACCTGCCGAGTAAACCTAATTACCCTAGTTAAGCCTTTAATTGTCACTTTGAGCTGTATAGAAGTGTCTTGAAAATATATCTAGTGAAATATTTTTTAATGTCATCATGGCAAAGATCAGTTATTAGAAATGAGTTATTAAAATTATTATGTTTAGAAATGTTGAAAAAATCTCTCCGTTAAACAGAAATTGTTGAAAAAAATAAACTGGTCTAAAAATTCTGATTTCAACTGTATTTTTGGAGGGAATCTCCTAATTCACCACTAGTGTGCAGCATCCACCTGGATGACACGACGGCAGCCATATTGTGCCAGACTGCACACCACACACCAGCTGATTGGTGGAAATGAGACAAAGTGATGAAACCAATTAAGATATGTGGATGATTGATGAAATTTGGGCTAGGATGCCAGGGTTAAACCCCTACTCGTTTTCGAAGGACATCCTGGGATTTTTACTGACCACTGAAAGTCAGGACCTCAGTTAACCGTCTCATCGGAAAGTTACTGACTCACTGAGCAGTACAGAGTCCCCTTCACTATACTGGAGCATTAGGACTCACACAGATCACAGCTTGAGTGTCCCCTGCTGGTTTCACGACCAACACTTCTGGCAGCAACATAGCTTTCCCATGTGGTCTCCTATCCAGGTATTGATATATTCTTATTGACACTACCAGTAAGATCACATTAACAATAAGCTAGCAATGTTTTTAAACATGCTACAGTAAATCATGTTAACATATGTTAGCAGTGTTAAAATACTAGCAACATGCTACCGAAGTGATAATCTGTTTGCAGTGTGATAAAGATACGGCTAGATGTTACCTATATCATAAACCGCTGACAGTGGTAAAATTTATGCTATAAACGTGTTACATGTGATAAACTGCTACCGTTGTGTTAGAAACATTGCATGTGCTATGCTAGATGCATTTACCAGAGCGATAAATTGCTATTAGTGTATTGAATCATAGAACCATGTTGACTGTGATATAAGCGGTAGAAATGTGTTAAATTATGCTATAAACATGTTCATTGAGATAAAGACAATTTAACATTTTAAAAAATTTCTCAGGCAAACATCAAAGTTTGTTTACAAACTTAACAACCAGTCATACTATTATTAAGGTATTCAAAATGTTCTCAAATGTAGTTTCTATATTTAGCCCTGCACCTAAAATGATACATAGTGATACTTAGAACTGAGCGCACTGTGGTTCATGTTCCTTATAATTCCAGAGAAATGAGAGACAACCTGGTTATTTCCATTTTGAGCGAATTTATTTGCTGGAAGCACTTCAACTACAGTTCAAAGAAACTGTGCATAATTGCATTACAAATGAAGGACACATTAGATTTGCAATGCCTTATCTCAGGTTACATCACTGTCAGGAAATCAATGTGTTGAAAGTGCCTGAACTAGAGTAGTGCTTATCTACTTTTGTGATTCCCAATGCTCTAATCAATATTAGAAGACCCTCCTAAAAAAAATAAAAAATAAAAATAAAAAAAACTCTGATTTGTGTCTCTTGTACTTAAATTTTGCTTTGGAAATGGAGACTAGGACTTTCAGTTTCGTTAAATAATCACAATCACAAGATTTAACACATCCGTTTGGGCCTTTTTAAAGGAAAGCAAACAAAATGGAGGTGTAACAGCTGTTCTCACGGCTCCACAAATGATCCCATATGCAACAACTGCATTATTTCTTCATAATTAGCTCAGCAAGCCTACTTTAAAGTGGCGCCTAAATAAATATCACCCTAGAGTATAACAAATCAATAGTCAACACAAAT